GAAGTCAGGAGTTTGAGACCAGCCTGGCCAACATCGTGAAACCCCATCTCTACAAAAAAAAAAAAATTAGCCAGGCTTGGTGGTGGGCAACTGTAATCCCAGCTACTCATGAGGCTGAGGCAGGAGAATCGCTTGAACCCAGGAGGCAGAGGTTGCCGTGAGCCGAGATTGAACCATTGCACTGCAGCCTGGGCAACAAGAGCAAAACTCCTCTCAAAAATAATAATAATAATAATAATAATAATAATAATAATAAGGAAATAGGACTAATCAACTTCTTAGAGCTGGGACAAAACAACGTGAACCAAAATGCCCGGAATTCAATGTTAACAAACAGTGGAATGTATTATGTTGGTGCAAAAAAGTAATTGCGGTTTTTGCCATTGAAAGTAATGGCAAAAACCGCAATTACGTTTGCATCTGCCTAATATGTGTTCGGGGGCAGGTGAATATTAGGGAGGGGCAGGTCCATGAAGCTTGCAGGCCCAAGTCCCACAGGCAAGCCCCAGCGGCTCCAGACAGGCAGAGACACACGCCTAAGCCTAAAGGCTTATAGGTCAAGTCACACCAAGGGTGCAGTTAAGACCTCAAATCCCTCTCCAAAGTCGGGGGCTTAGAGCCTGCCAGAAATGTCAAGTAGGTAGGTATTCAAGCCTCAGATATTTTATTTTGTTGGTTTCCTCTGGTTACTCATAGACAGCTCTAGCCTAAAGGTTTGGAGCAATGCTTAGCTTCAGCCAGAGAGAACACTACAGGTCTGTGATTCCCACCATCAAAGAAAATGAGCCTTTTCTTCTTCTTCAGGCAATTCTCCTGCCTCAGCCTCCTGAGTAGCTGGGACTACAGGCATGCACCACCATGCCCAGCTAATTTTTTGTATTTTTAGTAGAGACGGGGTTTCACCATGTTGACCAGGATGGTCTCGATCTCTTGACCTTGTGATCCACCCGCCTCGGCCTCCCAAAGTGCTGGGATTATAGGCGTGAGCCACCGCGCCCGGTGGAGCCCTTTCTTCTAATCTCCTCTCCCCCAGAAGGGACTGGGCTTCCTTGTCTTTGTCCCCAAAGGCAAACCTTGTCTGTTGTTAAATGTTTGTGGAAGGAGCCTGAATTAGGATAAGGAGCAGAATTACAAAAGGGCCTAATGACTTTGCCCTAAAGGCATGCTTTATTGATATGGACGATAACTGGGAAAGTCAAAGCTAAATGCTTGCAAAAAAGGAAAACAGATTACTTTTTCTTTTTTCTTTTAAAAATTTTTTAATAAAGACAGGGTTTCACCTTGTTGGCCAGGCTGGTCTTGAACTCCTGACCTCAGGTGATCCGCCCGCTTCGGCCTCCCAAAGTGCTGAGCCATCGTGCCTGGCCAGAAAACAGATTACTAACAGATAGCCTAAGAAAGCCAAAATAGTGTATTGAAAATGGAAGGAAAGAGATGGGGAGAGGGAGAGAGCTCAGAGAAAATCAGGAACACTTTTTGGTTTTGTTTTTAACTTAAGCTGTGGTATCAGGAGAAAAAAGGTTCGGAATGCCAGGAACAGGGGAAGGCTTCCACCTGGAAGCAGTGTTATAGAAGGGGACCCACTGGGGGCCTGCATGTGCCCAGAAAATGGCCAGATGCCGGCTGGAGTGCAGTGGCGCAATCTCAGCTCACTGCAGCCTCAGCCTCCAGACTCGAGTGGATTCTCCCACCTCAGCCTCAGGTGTGCACCACCACACTCAGCTGAGTTTTATATATTTTTTGTAGAGATGGGGTTTTGCCATGTTGCCCAGGTTTCTCTTGAACTCCTGGGCTCAAGTGATCTGCTGGCCTCAGCCTCTCAAAGTGGTGGGATAACAGGCATGAGCCACCATGCCCAGCCTACGTGATCTCTTTTAATATTCACCCCAATAGGGGAAGGTACAGACTGCTGATTTTACAGATGGGAAAGCTGGGGGATAAGTTGTCAGCTCATAAATGGCAGAGCTAGAATTCCAAGCCCAAGGTGTCTCCAAACACCTATCCAGCCAGCCTCTCCCACAGTCTCCTTGCAGCTCCTACTTGTTTTTTTGTTTTCTTGGTGTGTGTTTTTTGTTTTTTTTTTTTTTTTTTTTTTTTTTTTGAGACGGAGTTTCGCTCTTGTTACCCAGGCTGGAATGTAATGGCGCGATCTCGGCTCACTGCAACCTCCACCTCCTGGGTTCAGGCAATTCTCCTGCCTCAGCCTCCTGTGTAGCTGGGATTACAGGCATACACCACCATGCCCAGCTAATTTTTTGTATTTTTAGTAGAGACGGGGTTTCACCATGTTGACCAGGATGGTCTCGATCTCTTGACCTTGTGATCCACCCGCCTCGGCCTCCCAAAGTGCTGGGATTAAAGGCTTGAGCCACTGCCACCGGGCCGGGCCTCCTACTTGTTTTGAAGATGCCTTTGGCCCCAGGTCATGATGACAGCGATCAAATTCACTCTGGTTGCTTTCTAGTCATTTATCAGGCTTTCACACCTGATATCTCATTCCTCTTTACATCCTCCAGATGAGGCTAGCAGAGGGGTCCTGTGCTTTTTGGACATACAAGGAGAGCCAGGCCAGCAAAGGGTGGGGAGGTGGGAATCAGTGACTTCCCCATGTGAAAGAAAATAGAATCTAGGGACCCCACATTCACTATGTCAAAGAGAAAGTTTAATCCCAGCACTTTGGGAGGCTGAGGTGTGTGGAATATTTGAGTTTAGGAGCTGGAGACCAGCCTGGGCAACATGAGGAACCCCTGTCTCTATCCAAAAAAAAAAAAAAAAAAAAAAGCACAAAAATGTAACTGGTGTAACTGGGCATGGTGGCGCATGCCTGTAGTCCCAGCTACTCAGGAGGATGAGGTGGGAGGATGGATTGAGCCTAGGATGTCAAGGCTGTAGTGAGCTATGACTGCAGCACTGCACTCCAGCCTGGTGCAACACAGCAAGACCCTGTCTCCAAAGAAAAGGGGAAAGTTAAGCTTGGAAACCACAAAAACTGCTTTCCTTTTGTTCCCAGATAGCTGCAATTTCACAACCCTGTGTCACAGCCTAATTTCCTTTGCTCCCCATAGATGTACTGAGCAGGAGACAATGCAGCACTGACTTTTTCTTCTGCTCCCTCTTTCACATGTAAAATGTAGATTTACAGAGGCTAAATCAGAGCCTCTTGTGTTTGTAACGTCACTGCCTTTCGTCCCTCCCTCTTCTTTTCCTCTCCTGCTTGCTCTTTCTCCTTTAAATACGGAAGTTTCCAAAACCTTTTTGGGAAAAAAAGGTGATTTTTCCCTGGTGGATCCTCAAGCTTGGCTAACTAAACCTCTATTTGATTAATACCTGCCTCAGTCACTTTTTGATTTACACTCATGATGACCCGGCCAGGGTTTGAATTCACGTTTGCCTCCCAAGTGGCTCTGAACCCCACCTTTTCCTCTACATGTGCAGTTTAGAATTTGATTTCTTTCTTTTTTTCTCTCTCTCTCTTTTTTTTCTGAGACGGAGTTTCGCTCTTGTTACCCAGGCTGGAGTGCAATGGCGCGATCTCGGCTCACCGCAACCTCCGCCTCCTGGGTTCAGGCAATTCTCCTGCCTCAGCCTCCTGAGTAGCTGGGATTACAGGCACGAGCCACCATGCCCAGCTAATTTTTTGTATTTTTAGTAGAGACAGGGTTTCACCATGTTGACCAGGATGGTCTCGATCTCTTGACCTCGTGATCCACCCGCCTCGGCCTCCCAAAGTGCTGGGATTACAGGCTTGAGCCACCGCGCCTGGCGATTTTTTTCTTTTTTTGAGAGAGAGAGTCTCCCTCTGTCACCCAGGCCGGAGTGCAGTGGCATCTAGGCTCACTGCAATCTCTGTTTCCCGGTTTAAGCGATTATCCTGCCTCAGTCTCCCAAGTGCTGGGATTACAGACGCATGCCACCATGCCCAGCTAATTTCTGTATTTTTAGTAAAGACGGGGTTTCTCCATGTTGGCCAGGATGGTCTCAAACTCCCGACCTCAAGTGATCCACTCTCGTCGGCCTCCCAAAGTGCTGGGATTAAGGCGTGAGCTACCATGCCCAGCCCAGAATTTGATTTTCACAGCAGGATGGAGTGGTCACACCGTCAGATCTCAAGAGCTAGTTGCGGCTGCGCTGCAGAGGGAAAAGGAAATGCACAGTCCCCAGAAAGCAAAATGTCCCTGACAGCTTAGAAACCTCGAAGTCATGGCGAGAATCTGGGGCCTCCACACTCACTTCCTTTAAAACCCGAGGGTGGGCGTCGGCTAGAGGCAAGGGAACTTCCACTTTGCACCTTGTCCACTTTTCTTTTGCTGACTACTTCGCAGCTGGCTTTGTACCTTGGTAATCATCATTTCAGCTGAAACGATTCCTCTAAAAAGAATGGAGCCCAAGGCCTGTCTCATAGGATTCAGGCTCTGGGACTCAGGAGCTGATCCTCCTTGACCTTCACTTGGAGCAAATTTAGCCTCAGCTGATACTTAGGCGGCAAAGGCACAACAGACTTGGGGATGCGGGAAGCTCCAGGGCTGTCACCCTGCAGAAACCCTTCTGACGCCCACTCCAGGCCTGGCCTCGCCTCGTGGCTGGCAGGCTCCTCCGCGCTCCCTCGTTTTCAGCGAGAGTCTGGGATGGCACCCACGAAGCCAGTGGCGCCGGCCCTCCCGCCCCCATCTCCCGACAGTACTAGAGCCAGGTCCGAGAAGGAGCAGGAACGAAGAAAACTACCCGGGCTGGGGTTCTTGGTTTCTTGTCATGGCTCGAATAGGGAAGAGCCTTAAGAGAGCCTCGCGCCAGGCCCCCGGAGGGAGACACACCCCTAGCCCTGGGCACCCCAGCGGGGGTTCGCGGCCGCAGCGCAGGCTGCGGCGGGGGTGTCTCCCGGAAGCCGGGCGGGCCCAGGCTGCCCCGCTGGAGTTGGGAAAGTCTCGGGCTTTCAGTTTGAACCTAGGAGGCCGAGCAGCCGGGCAGAGGTTCCCGACGGCCATTGGCTGCGGCGGCGCCGTGACATCAGCGCGGAGGGGCGCGCGGGGAGGGCGCGGGCGGGGCCTGGAAGGGGAGTGTCCTGGCTGCTCCCAGCCCCGAAAGCCCGAGAGCCAGAGGGAAACAAACGCCGGCGCTGACAGGGGCCGCCAGCCCCGCCGCCGCGCGGAGCCCAAAGAGGGGACAGCGCAGCCGCCCCGGTCCGGCGCTCTGGTCTCCGGGGACCGAGGTAGGCGACGTGCACCCGCCCCTGGCTGTGGCAGCCTCCTTCGCGCCGGGAGGCCTGGGTGGGCTCAGCTCCGGGGGCTTGAAACCCCCTGTGGGGCGGAGAGGATCGAAGAAGCTGGGGGTGCAGGGCCGCGGGGCGGGGAGAAGGGCACCGAGTCCCCAGTTCTTGGCGCTCGCGCTTCTCTCAACGCCCGCCGCGGTGCCTGGACCCGGAGCCGCGCACCCAGTGTCCTGGCAGAGCGGGATGTGCGGGCGGGGGGGCGGGTAGCAGGGAGCCGGGCGCGGCGTCGCCGGGACTCGATTTCCTCTCTCCACGCTGCAACTCGCTGGCCTGGCCGAGGGCGCCGCTGGGGGGGCTGGGGGCGGGTTTTAAAGGGCCCCTCCTTCCCAGGAACGGGGTGTGTGTAGGTGTGGGCCGGAGCGCAGCCGTCGGAGGCGCGAGGCCCGCGGTCTCCCCGAGGGGGGCGTGTGTGCGCCCCGAGTTCTCCATGAATAAGAACCGAATTATCCGCCTGTTCGGGCGGAGGCGTGTACACACCTCGCTCTCGTACACACACTGTAGCACACGCCACCCAGAGTCACCCTGCTGGGGAGAGAGATGGACGGAGCTGCCTGGAAGGGAATGGCCGAAGGAGCAAATGTTCCCCTGTTCCCCCGCACCCCCGCGCCCTGCGAACCCTTCCCTCCCACGCCGGGCTCCCGCCCCGCCCGCTCCCTCGGAGGCCCCCGAGGTGGAGGCGCCTCCCGGCAGGGTGAGACCCAGCCAAGCCGCCGGCCCCTTTGGAGCTGGGGTGACTGACGTCCTAGTACCGGGTCGATGCGCCCCGATCCCAGCGCGCTCCGCCGAGTCGCAGGCGGGAGCGGCTGGTTAATGATTTAATCGGCCGCTTGGGGCGGGTGCGCGGAGATCGGCCGTCCCCGGCCCCGCCCCCTCCCCGGAGCGCCCCTAGCCGGGATTACAAAACTGCCCCCTGCCCCGGGCGCGTCCCCCAGGAGCCGTCCTGCCCGCGGGGATCCCGGCCGCGGGTGAGTGCCGGGCTCGGGAGGGCTGGAAAGCTGGGCGGTAGCCGGGGCTGAGGCTGAGCCGGCTTCCTGGGAGCGGACTGAAGTACGTGTGTGTGTGAGTGTGTGTGTGTGTGCGTGTGAGAGAGAGAGAGAGAGAGAGAGACAGAGCGAGCGAGCGAGAGAGACTGGGGGAGGGGTGCTCTCAGCTAACTCAAACCAGGTTCCTTGTGTTTTCCCAGTGACTGCGGCCTGGGCTTTGGAAGTTTTCTTTTTCTCCCTGGGAGAATGGAGGGGAAATCCAACGCCCTTTTCTTTTCTTGTTGCCTCTGGAACTTCTCTCTCTCCACGACTCCCACCCCTTGCAACCTGACCAGATCCCACATCCCTTGCTGGGTGCCCGGTGCCCGCTGTCTGCCCGGGTAGCTGAGCAGCTGGATCCCAGTAGGGTCCTTTGGGAGCCCCTTCGCTGCGAGGGCCCCTGCCCTCCCCGGAGGGGCCCGGGTGCCGGAGGGAGAATCTCTCCCGTCCGAGCCCCAGCAGCCATCTGGACCAGAGGAAGGTCCCGTCCAGAGAGTGTAAACAATGAGGGGCGGGTGACAGGGGCCTCCTGCGAGGCAACTTCTTTGGCAGTCTGGGTTTCCAGTAACTCCCGAAGCCCCCGCCTCCTTGGGGCTGGGATGGAGGAGGGACCACCAGCAGGATGGACTGAATTTTAAGAGAACAAAGAACAGACCACAAAGGAAGGGACTGCTGAGCTGCGGATTTCTCCTAGAAATCGCGAGTTGGCTGGGACTGAGCCTGGCCCTGAGAGAGCCTCCAGTAGCCCCAGGGCTCCTGAGGCAATAACGGGGCATCCACCAAGATCTCCTGAGGCTCCATCTCTGCTGGGGAGCCGGTCCCTGGCGAGTGCGGGGGTGCCTTTCGGGTTCCTGCTGACAGCTGCCCTGTGTGAGCTGCCCATGTGGCTGACTGATTAGTGGGGTGGTTTATCTCCTCTGAACTTGGACTTTGCCTCTCCACTCCTAGAAGACAGCTGCTCCTTCCCACAAGGGGGGTTCAGTGAGTCTGGGGAGGTCCCAAGTGGATTCCCAGGCATCCTGGTGGTGCCCTGCAGGGACCAGGATGGAGCCGCTGTGATCATATGGGCGGTGGTTCTAGGGTGAGTCTCAGCGCCTCCCTCTGAAATCTCCCTGAGATCCTAGGGTCTCCGAGCATGGAGGACGCTTGTCCTGCTCTGCTGTACAGACTAGGCCCCGGCTTTGAGCGTTTCTTCCATTTTCTAGGGTTTCCACCTCCCTCTCTTAATTCCTCTTAATCTTGCCCACCCACCAGTGCTTGTCCCCACCCCTTGTACCCTGTCTCCACCGCTGCTGCCTCAGGAACCCGGCAGTGCCTCACGGGACTGAGGACGAGGGAGTCACCAGCAAAGGGGGGTGTGGTTCTCATGTTTAAAGCCGGGTCAGGGGAGCAAGTGTTGACCTGGGAGAGGGATCTTACACCATTCTTTTGATTTTTAAAATAATATTTATTTGAGACAGGGTCTTGCTCTATCATCCAGGTTGCAGTGCAGTGACATGGTCAATGCTCACTACGGGCTGGACCTCCTGGGCTCAAGCGATCCTCCCACTTCAGCCTCCCAAGGAGCTGGGGCTACTGGCACCCACCACCATGCCCAGCTATTTTTTGTATTTTTTGTAGAGGCGTGGTGTTGCCATGTTGCCTGGGCTGGTCTTGAACTCCTAAGCTCAAAGGATCTTCTCCCACTTAGGCCTCCCAAAGTGCTGGGCTTAGAATTATGAGCCACCACACCTGGCTGACCTTTCTTTACAAGTGCGGAGCTTTTCCAGAAGGGTCTTGGGTTAGCAGTGGCCCAGGGCTTTCAACCCCTTCCACCCCTTTGGAGTGATTGATTGATTTCTGTGGCCAGGACTGTCTGTGAGCAGGTGTGGCTGAAAGGTGTTTGATGTTGGCCCCTCCCTTTCCCCCTCCCTTACCCCTCCCCTCCCAACATTTGGATTGGGTTCCAATTGAAGAAGTCCGAAGCCAGAGCAGCCAGGGTTGCGCTTGGGTGGCAGTATAAGTCTAGTCTTCAGCGTTCTCATTCTGGTTCTGCAGACTCAGAGGAGCTTGTCCCTGTTGGGAGAGGGAGGAGTCCATCCCTTGGAGGAATGGGGAGCTGGGTTGATGCCAGAGATAAGGCTTGTGGGCGGAGGGAGAAGGGTTGAGCAATCTTGCCCTGGAAACAGAGCTGACCTGAGCTCTGCGTAGGTCTTCTGACCTATGTACTGGAGGCTGTTTCTCAACCATGAGGAAAAGAACCAAATTCTGGAGCTGGGGACACTTTGAGGGGTCATTGGCAGAGGAACTGGATGGTAGTGCTGGAAGGAGCTGGCAAGTGGCAGTGGACACAGCCCTTTATTGCTTGTACTACATTGGGAAGGAAATTCAGACATTAGGGCCGGGCACGGGGGCTTACGCCTGTAATCTCAGCACTTTGGAAGGCCAAGTCACTTGAGGTCAGGAGTTCGAGACCAGCCTGGCCAACATGGTGAAACCCTGTCTCTACTAAAAATACAAAAAATAGCCGGGCGTGACGCGTGCACCTATAATCCCAGCTACTGGGGAAGCTAAGACATGAACATTGCTTGAACCTGGGAAGCAGAGGTTGCAGTGAGCCAAGATCGCGTCAGTGCACTCTAGCCTGGGCGATAGAGTAAGACTCCATCTCAAAAATAATAAAAATAAAGAAAAAAACATTCAGACATTAGTTTCCCACATTCTTGTTCACTGTGCCCCTGAAGCTCCAGCTTAAAATACGCCTCCTCGAGGAACCTTGGGCTTCCTTCCAGCTAAGTTACGTTGGAGTCTTCCCCCAGGCACTGCCAGCTTGCAGCCCTGGGCTCCATGCCAGGATGGCAATGCTGGCATCCAAAGCCCTCCTTTGCCAGGAACAGGGCACCTGGCCATCTCCACTCAGCCTCCATTCAAGCTGAGGAAGAGTCTCTGTTTTGGGACTCAGGTGAGCACAGTTTGAGGTGTGGTCATGAATGAAGGCTTATAGTCTTAACCCACCTATAAGGAACTGCTCTGCACACCTGGTGTTTCCTCTTCACCTCAAAGATGGAGCTGAGGGCATCTGAAAAAAAAAATGTCAGGCAAGAAGGATCCCTGGATGTCGGTGCTCGGTCAGAGCTGCTTCAGCCAGCATCTTCTGCCTTGGCCGTCACGGTAGCGGAGGTTGTCTGGGGTAGCCTCCAGCCTCCCAGGATGAGACTCTGAGTTCTCCTTTTGCCTGGGCCCCTGCAGTTCCGACAGCCACTGAACTTGACCTGGAGACCCCAGCTTTGAATCTCCAAGTGTGCCAACAAAGCCAGGTTCGGTGTTCCAGCTTCTCTTCCCTGCCTGCCCTTCCTCTCCACCTGGGGTCCTCACTCAGTGCAACCCTTCTTCTTTCCTTAGACCAGGCGTCCCCAAACTACGGCCCTCGGGCCGCATGCAGCCCCCTGAGGCCATTTATCCGGCCCCCCGCCGCACTTCAGGAAGGGGCACCTCTTTCATTGGTGGTCAGTGAGAGGAGCACAGTATGTGGCGGCCCTCCAATGATCTGAGGGACAGTGAACCGGCACCCTGTGTAAAAAGTGGGACGCCTGCTTTAGACTGTTGCCTCTGACCCTGAAGCATCAGAAAAGGAGTTGTTCCTCCCACTGTCCTGGAACTGGGTTTAAGGCTTTGTCAAATGGTACAAGGAGTAGACAGCTCAAGAGAACCCAAAAAGCACCCAGGGGCTTACAGTATGCTTTGTGGATACCTCTAAGGAGAATCTGGTTAGGTCCAAAGGATCAGGTTATATTTTATTGGGGATTGATCATGCTGAAGTTTCGTGCATTATTTTTTGTTTCGAGACAGGGTTCTGCTCTGTTTCCCAGGCTCGGGTGTAGGGGCTTGATCACAGCTCACTGCAGCTTCAAACTCCTGTACTCAAGAGATCCTCTCACC